ACACCCACCACACCTTCATCCTGGGCCCATAAAAACCAGAGACCCTAGCAATGCAGAGACAGAGGCAGCTGAATGTTGAGAGGAGCACATCAGCAGAGGAACACACAGAAGCAGCCAAGAGGAGCATATCGGCAGAGGAACACATGGGCAGCTGGACATCCACAAGAACACACCAATGGGCACCAGCTCCCCATAGGCCACAGACTGGCAGAACAACTCAGTTTGGCTGGAGCAGTCGGAGGCGAGCCCTGGCCACCGAGACACCTAACTCCAGGGAAAACCATCTCACTTCTGGCTCCCCCATCTGCTGAGAGCTACTTCCACTAGATTTACAAGAAAAAAACAAACAAACACAATCAAAAGTGGGCAAAGGATATGAACAGACACTTTTCAAAAGAAGACATATATTAGGCCAACAAACATATGAAAAAATGCTCATCATCACTGGTCATTAGAGAAATACAAATCAAAACCACATTGAGATACCATCTCATGCCAGTAAGAATAGCTATCATTAAAAAATCTGGAGACAACAGATACTGGAGATGATGTGGAGAAATAGGAACACTTCTACACTGTTGGTGGGAGTGTAAATTAGTTCAACCATTGTGGAAGACAGTGCGGCAATTCCTCAAGGTCCTAGCAATAGAAATTCCATTTGACCCAGCAATCCCATTACTGGGTATATATCCAAAGGATTATAAATTGTTGTATTATAAAGACACATGTACATGTATGTTCATTGCAGCATTGTTTACAATAGCAAAGACCTGGAACCAACCCAAATGCCCAACAATGATAGACTGGACAAGGAAAATATCGCGCATATGCACCCTGAAATACTATGCAGCCATAAATAACAATGAGTTTGTTTCCTTTGTAGGGACATGAATGAATCTGGAAACCATCATTCTCAGCAAACTGACACAAGAACAGAAAATCAAACACCACATGTTCTCACTCATAGGTGGTTGTTGAACAATGAGAACACAAGGACACAGGGAGGGGAGTATCATACACTAGGGTCTGTTTGGGGGGAATAGAGGAGTGACAGTGGGGTGGGTAGGGAGGTTGGGGAGGGATAACATGGGGAGAAATGCCAGATAGAGGTGACTTGGGGATGGAGGCAGCAAACTACCTTGCCATGTATGTACCTTTGCAACAATCCTACATGTTCTGCACATGTTTCTGCACATGTATCCCAGATCCTAAAGTGCAATTAAAACAACCCCTTGCATTCATTCTCAATGCCCACATGTCATCCGATTCTTCCAGTACACCAAGCCAAGAAACCCCGAGATGCGGAAAACCCTCTGTCCTTGCGACAAGGTAGAGGGTCTAATTGAGCTGGTTAACACAAGCTTCCTCTAGACGGCAAACTAAAAGAGCACCCTGTAACACATGCCCACTGAGGCTTCAGCATTAAACTTTCACCCCTAGACACTGCAATGGGGTCAGAGCCCCCGTCTGTGTGTTCCCCTAGAGGTCTGAGTAGTGGGACACTGAAGAAGTGAGCCACATCCTCATCACACACCCTGCAAGGTGACAAGGAAACCTTTCCCATTTCAAAAGGACGTGGAGGAACCTTAACTGTGTATTATTATATGAAGTGAAAGAAGCCAATCCAAAAGACTACATGTAGTATGATTTCAAGTGTATGACATTCTGGAAAAGCCAAAACTATGGAGGCAGTAAAAAGATCAGTGATTGTCAGGGATTGGGGAAACAGAGATGAATAGGCAGAGCACAGAGGTTTTTAGGGCAGTGAAACTACTCTGTAAAATACTATAATGGTGGATTCATGTCATTATATATTTGTCCAAATGCATAGAATGTACAATACCAAACTGAACACTGTTGTAGACTATGGACTTTTAGTGATTATGATGTGTCAGTGTAGGTTTGTTGATTGTAATAAATGTACCCTCTGGTGGAGGATATGATAAACCCGGAGGCTACGTATGTGTTGGGAGAGAGGGTATGTATAAAACCTCTTTGTCTTCCTCTCAGTTTTGCTGAAAACCTAAAATTACTCTAAAAGATTAAGTACTAAACAAACAAATGAAGTGTTCATTCCCATAATTCTGCTTATGAAAGAAACTGAGGCCCAGCATATTTATATACTATAATTGGTCACATTCTTAATGGGTAAAGCAGAATTCCACTTCTTTCTATTCTAATCTCTGAGAAACACTCCTTTTCCACATATAATTACCTACTTGTACTTTTTATTGTAACTAGAGCTTGCAGTGTTAAGACAAATGAATGATAAATATTAAATTTGAAATTAGAAGAATGAGTATCAGTAGCCCTTCCTATAGGCCAGTTACTGAGTGATAATTACACTGGGCCAAACATATAGGGAAAAGGTCGTTGGAGATTTAAGTAAGAAATAAAATATTTCTGTAGTGTTTTATATGCAATTCTTTCCCTTTAATTAATTACACAATATTATAGTATCCTTTACAACAACTTGCTTTCTATTTTCTTTTTATTTTTCCTCTAAATGTTGGTAATATGATTTTCCCATGCTTTCTTTTTGTAGTGCCACTGAAGTATGAAACCAATCAGAGATGAGAGAGTCGGCTTAGTAGGGTACAATTAAGTTTATGCCTGAGTCACTTATTTCTGAGGCTCTAAGTTATATTCAAGTTTTAAGAGAAATCATAGGTACAGTCTGGTCACATGGGAACTGAACTAGGGAAATGTAATTAAATACTGTGAATTTTGCAAAATTCATTAAATGTGATTTTATAACATTTTTTTCACTAAATCTTATTTTAAAAAAATTCAACAGGTACTGAGGCATCATCCAAAAGAATGTGCTGCAGAATCACAGATGGTCTGCACAGGAGAGTAAACCTCAGCGACTTCAGGGAAGAACATTCAGCCACCTAAAACTTCAGAGGCATCAAAAATTCCTATAGAAGAGAATCAGCAGATTAAGGAATTTCCTCCCCTTTAGGAACATTCATCTCCATCGAAGTCATTCATTTTTGCAATTGTCTAGATTATCATGGTGGATGGGAAAAGCATCACAGAATCACAGGTTCACTTTCTGTTATTCAGAGAAAGAATTTCAATTATCAGAGAAAAAAAACCTAACAATTAGAAAAGCAAAATAGAAAATGAAATTGCAGAGACCATACTTGAGTTTATCAGACTAAAAACAAAGAACAAATCTTAATATTGAAGTTCCAGATTGAGTGGAAGATATTAGGGCTCAGTTTCCTGAACTTTGTGAGAGATCACTGAAACTTGATTTTGAATTGATATTCATCAGGCCTAATTTTGCCAGCTTTATAAACCAAGATTGACTCTAAATTTTACAGCTCTCAGGACCTTTTTCCCCTTCTTTTAAGTTCTTTTTCAAAGTAGTGCATGCACGTGGTTAAACAGATCCCACAGTGTGGAAGATATTCTAATGAAGAATAACTGTCTGCCATCCCTCTCCGATCCCCCTCAGTCCACCACTCCACACTGCTGCTTGTCCTGCCTCCAAGAAAAATGAAGTTAAAAACAAAATACCTTCTATTCTTAACTCTTATTCCAGTTATTGGAAAGCCTTTACGTATTAGAGCTATAATTTTATTTATTAATTTATCAATTTAAAATTGTATCTATATTGACTTAGCACTATGAAACTTGAAGATTGATTTTAATGAATTCCTCTCTACTTTTTAAATCACAGAAGTAGAAAGTAAAGTTGTGGTCATTAGAGAATGGGAAAGGTAGGGAGAAAAGGAAGCTGGGGAGAGGTTGGCTAACAGATACGAAGTTACATCTAGGTGGGAAGAAAAAGTTCTAGTGCTCTGTAGCACTGTAGGATGAAAATGGTTAAAAATAATTAAATGTATGTTTTCAAAAAGCAAGAACAAAAATGGAATGTTTATAGCACAAATAAATTATAAATATTCCAGGTGATAGGCTAATGACCTTAATCTTATTATTACACATTATATACATGTATCAGAATGTCACTCTGTACCCCATAAATGTCTACAATTATGATGTTTCAACTAAAAATAAAAGAAAAAAATAAAATTCTCTTTATTTTAAAAGGCATTATTTAGTTTTTCATTTGTCTACTGTCTATTTGTGTAATGTTAAAACTCTATTTCTTGTTCTATCAAACTTTAGAGAACATGTTGACCACAGCCCCATTCTACCTTTTTGATATTATTAGTTCCACCACGTTCCCTCTGCATCCCAATTCATGTTTCCTGATTTCTGTCAGGTATATCTTTGCTTCCACAACTAAATGGCAGAACATATTAATGTTCTGTTTTGTAAGTATATTTAAATTTGTTGCCAGTCTATTAAACAACGACTCTGTTATGGCTTCCTCTTAATATAAAGGGTGTTGTCAAACCCTCTGCAATAAAACAAGCAAAAACAGTGGGTAACTTAGAGTCTGAAATTTTAGGATTTGTTTAAGCTCACAAGATTGTCGTTCTAGATAAATTATGAAGCTGAAGCTACTTAAGCCTATATTTTATTAGAGAGGTGGATGAATGATTTAGGCACTGTTATTATTTTTATCAACTCTGGGAGAAATTTGTCAGATGCAACATAGGGTTGTGTGTAGTTTTTATTGATTGTTTCATGGCCTTTGACTCCAAGTCCATGAATCAGTTATAGGTCTAACTAAATGAATTCAGTATAGGCCAGCAGCTTTTGATGTCGCTTGCACTTAGAAATAGTAGTGAGTCGGCCGGGCGCGGTGGCTCAAGCCTGTAATCCCAGCACTTTGCGAGGCCGAGGCGGGTGGATCACGAGGTCAGCAGATCGAGACTATCCTGGTCAACATGGTGATACGCCGTCTCTACTAAAAATTACAAAAAATTAGCTGGGCATGGTGGCGCGTGCCTGTAATCCCAGATACTCAGGAGGCTGAGGCAGGAGAATTGCCTGAACCCAGGGGGCGGAGGTTGCGGTGAGCCAAGATCGCGCCATTGCATCCAGCCTGGGTAACAAGAGCGAAACTCCGTCTCAAAAAAAAAAAAAAAAAAAAAAAAAAAATAGCAGTGAGTAAGATAATTTCCAGCAGATAAAATAAGGTTGTGTATTTACTTCCCTTTTCTTCAACTAGTTTTTTAATAACTCAATACTTCTTTTGTGTGAGCTTGATGCAGGCACCTGCTGGCTCTCCAAGTAGAGACCAGGGAAAAACAATCAACCTCATGTGTGCTGGGAACATTGTTTTATTGCCACAAATTAGAATTATTTTAGCAGTGCTGTCTACATAATGTTAGAATAGCTAAACCACAACTGTTGCATGGAGAGGGTAATTATTTTTGGTAATGAATATCTAGCCTCCATCTGCTTCATAGTGAACAGGCTTGCAGAGCTCCCTAAGTTTGGATGCACAGGAATTATTTGGAAAGCCTGTTAGGCATACAGTCTCCTGGGTGATTCTCAGTTAGTAGGTGTGTGAGGTGTAGCCTGAGGATCTATGATTTAGAAAATATTCTCAAGTGATGCTAAGGCAAAGCCAGGTTTTAGAAATATGGTGTTAAATAAGCCATCTTGCTCATTATCTACAGATACATTGTGCAATCAGTTTACTTATTTAAATGTAAACAATTTTCAAAGGTTTTTTGTTCCCATGTCTATAGCAGGTGTTTAGTAGCAGTTACTTAAATTTATTTTTCTATTTTAGAATTATCATGGCCATGTTCCTGATATATCCTTTGGAGATTTGGTTATCCATCTGTTTGTAAGTTGTAACGGATGCAAATTTCTTTTAGAAGGAAGACATTTCTTTTTCTATCTTGTCTCTGCTCATGGAATCATTTACACTAAAGTGAGCTTTCTGTTATGTCTCAGCTCATGTCCTTGAAGAGTCTTTTCAGGCACATATTTTTTATGAGTTAGGTTCTGTTAGCCTAAATTTCTACCTAAAATTTTGATCATCAATGCATATAAACCAACTCATAACTGGCAATATAATATAATTACACTCCAGATACTTGTCAAATAATATAACCTTGAACTCTCTCTTGCCCAATCTTATTTAAAAATTGTGTTAAAATAAATAACACTTTTGAAAGACTATGTGAAATATATGCATCGTAACCCCTGATAAAATTTGTCCTTGGTTCAAATTAGAACAAGAGAGAACTGAGTAGTATTCTGCATTGTTTTGGCCCCTAATGTATTATTTTCATTAACATTGAACCACCAGCCTCCATCGAGAACAAAAATCTATATATGATTCATAACAGTTATTACTATTAGGATCTTATCTATCTAGTGTTTAAATTAATGAAAAAATTTGAAAAGCACAGAGTCTCTATAACCTTCAAAACATGAAGGAGGATGTAGTGGTATCTCTCAGTTTTGGAATAGAAATTAATTGTAGGCCCATGTTTTGTCAAAAAAGCTCACCAATTATTTTCTGCTACTATGTACATATGTGTTGGTTTTAATATGAATAAATGATTATAATTTGTTATCTAAATTTTCAAATAAATTTCAATTCCACAGAGATGTGCCATGTTTATCCCAGGGGTCTAAGTAGTAACAGGCACTTGACATGACTGTCAGAGGAAGCACACCCCACTTTTAAAACCAAAGTCAGTGTACTCTTTAGATAATTCACAGGATAAACTTTTTTTTATGTCCTAGAATGTTGGAAAGCTGGGCTTCTGATGAACAACTATTTGATTTGTATCTTAAAGATGCTGTGAACATTTTAACTCATTCTGTTTCTACTTTTATCCTCTAGAAAGCTTCCAGTCATATTACCAACCATTTTGAACATCTGTTCAGAACAATTGCGCATATGACTTTTAAAAATTCTAATCAGTTATCTGGCTCTAATGTTTCTACCTTTTTATTCTTCTATAAGAAATCTTGATCCATTTCATTATTTAGAATAACTCCTACCTTAAATTCCCAAATTCTAATAACTTACTTTCAGACTCCAAGCTTCCATATTTCGAACTTTTGTATCACTTCATATACTAAGGAAACTTTTGTCCTCATGGAAATCTTCATTGTCTTTATTTGATGTTTGATATACTCATTTCCCATTTTGTGTGATGGCATCAAGATCCATCTGATCACCCAAGCCTAAGACCTGGGAACTACCTTGAAAATTTCTTTTCACAGTCCCTTACCTCCAAATATTATTAATTTTTTTCATTTCCACTTCTTTAAAAATTTGAGAATTTGTCTTTTCCTTCTTTATTTCCACAGCCATCATCTTAGTTCAGGCAGTCAACATTTCTTGCCTATACATGATATTCCCCTTTTGGGCTCCCAGCTTTCAGTCTTATTCCTCCAACCCCAACTCCAAATTTTCTCCCACATTGTTACTAGAATTATCTTTTCAAAATATTAATCATTATAAATCACATTATGTCACTCAGCTGCTTAGAGTTCTTCAGTCTCTATAGAAGAACTTATATATTCTATAGACCACTGTCTATAGAATAAGCTCAAACCTAACATGGCACCTACAGTCCCTCAGACTGACTGATCCCCAGCTACCCTGTAGAATATTTCCTCTCACTGCTCCACAACATGCTCCACTTCAGCCTAAGTACTTCAGTGCTCTAAGGGTACCATACTGCTCCGTAGCACTGGGCTTTTGTGCCTGTTATATCTTCTCTCTAGAATATTCTACTTAACTCTATCTCTCCAGTTTTACATAGTAAATTTTTAATTTTTTGTGAAAATATTATTTATATTGATAAGACATATATTGATATTTATATCTCCATATTTTAAAAAATCTCTTCCCTGCAATGTTAGCCTCCTCTGCTATCACTCTCTTCTGTACCCATATGTCACTCATACAGGATCTCTGGTGACTTGGCCTCTTCCTTTTCCATCTAGGGAAGTCACATACATTATTTTCCTTGATTGGGATGTTCTCATGCCCTTTTTTTTTTACCTAAGCTATTCACATTCATTTTCTCAGATATGTGCCCAGGTCATGATAAGCAAAAGCCTTCATGTGACAAAACCAAATAGAAATTTTTCAATCCTTATTATGACTGCTCAGCAATATTTAATCAGACATGTAATTCTATTATATTCTAACACTTTCTTCTTGCAGAAATAGACTCCATTTTCTTCCTACCTTATTAACTGACTTGCTTTTCTGATTCTTTCTTTGCTACCAAAAATCTGCTGGTTGCATTTTCTCAGGACTGAGTCCTTGGCTCCATTTTCTTCTCTTGTTATGGTCTCTCTATAGCTCTCTCTACAGGTGATTTCATCAGGTATTTTTGTTTGTTTGTTTTGTTTTTGTTTTTACACAGTCTTGCTCTATCGCCCAGGCTGGAGTGCAGTGGTGCATGAGATCTTAGCTCACTGCAAGCTCTGTCTCACAGATTCAAGTGATTCTTGTGTCTCAGCCACCGAGTAGCCAGGATTACAGCCATTTGCCAACATGCCCAGCTAATTTTTGTATTTTTCTAAGAGCCAGAGTGGTAAATACAATATCTTACATGATATCTGTGCTTGGATGTGTCATAGATATCTCAAACTTAACATGTTCTAAAATTTTTTGTTGTATTTCTCTCTGCCAGAAACCTGGTATCCCTCAGTCTTTTTTAGTTCAGCTAATGACACCACCATCTACCGTGTCACTGAAGCAGGAGCCTTGGAATGTCATTCTTCTTTTCTCCAACTCCTTCACTGTGATCTTTCCCTCTGTTATTTTTCACATCATCCATACTGGCCTCCCAGTTCTGCTTTTGGCTCCCAGTTCTGCACTTGGCTTCTTCCTATACATTCTTCAGGGAGAAACCAAAATGGCTTTATTAAAATCTAAATCATATTATGCCACTCCTCTTAAAATCTAGCAATAGTTTTCTAATTGGAGTAAAACAGCCAATCTTACTGTGATTTGCATAGGGGCACAAGCAGTCCAACTTCATCTAATGGAATTCTCTTGTCACTTGCTCACCTGACTGATGATGCCTAGCTCTTCTCTGCTGCAGGGGCTTTGCCCTTGACACTTCTATTGCCAGAAACTCACTTTCTCCAAATCCAGAAATGTTTAGGTTCTTATTCTTGAGTTCTCAGCTTGGATTTTGTTCTTTAGAGAGTACTCCCTGGTACCCACCCCGGCAGGTCCTGTTGTCCTTATGTTTTGTTTATTCACTACCTATTGCTTCTTAGAGTCGATGACTTAAAATTTATTTGTTTATGTCCTCTGTCCTTCCAGTGAAACTTAAATCTTCACAAGGGCAGAGATATGTCTTTTGTTTAATGTTTCATCTCCAATTCTAGCATGGTGCCAGAGTAGGTACTTAATAAATACTTGTTTAATGAATTACTCTTTCAATTTAAACATTATAGGAAGCCTGTGGTCCTTCAGACTAGCATATATTCGCTCATCATATAGCCCTGTGACTCTTTATACTTCTCTTTTATTATACTTTACCCATTTATAATTACTGTCTGTTTCCAGTGTTAGACATTAATGACATGAAACCTTATATGTTTGGGTTTTTTTTCATCATGGTATCCCCAGAACCTTGCATAGTGGCTGCAATGTGGCAAATGCTTCACAAATATTTAGGTGGTAAAGGAATATATGATTGCAGAATATTACTATTTTTTAAATTTACTGAATGAATTGATTAAATCAAAATTGTTAGAGAGGTCTTAGAGACTTAAAGGGAAGAAATGTGTTGTATTAACAACAAAAGAGATCTCATGTTGAGTTGGAACTTAGAGAGGATTGTGATTTGATCATTGCAATTCAAATGATATTATGTCTGTAAAAGGAGACAAAACTATATGAAAGTAGAAAAACTATTTAATAATTTGCATAGGAGAAGAGCATTGGTTCAGATAGAGTATGAAGTAAAGCAGAAAATCCCTGATGAAACAAAAAGTCTATCAGTAGTGAGTCCAAAGAGCATAGGCAAAGGTTAGCAACATAGAAAATTATTCCCTTTGAAAGGTAGAATATTAAATTTAAGCCATTCATCAAGAATAGAACATACAGAGAGATAAATAAAAAGTTATTACAGCAAAGATAGCAACATGAAAACACAAAATTCTAGGTGAAATGCCAAAGTGTTTTCAGCTGTTGTAGGAAGTGGGAAGGAGGTCCCAGGTAAAATAAGTGTAGACCAAACAAATTCATAGCTGTGTCATTCTTCAGACTTTCTCAAAATCTTTAATATTCTGTACTGCTTTAGGGCCCACCAAGGGAAGGATATGGAATAAATACTTTTTCCTAAATTTATTTGACCAGATAATAACTTTTGCACAAAATATCTAGGGATTGATCTGGGAATAATTAGTGTTGGTCCTGAAAGTGCCCTTCCATTAGCAGAAATTTTGTTCAATTTTGTTAGATGTAAACTCTAATAGGCATTCCCAGATTGTTATAAGCAGGCTTTAAGCAATCATCTTCATGTCTTCCATAATTACTCAAGGATAGATCCTAAAATTCTCTCTTATATGTGAAGAGAATGGAAATTATTCTACAAGAGGTATTGTTGAGAAGTAAAGAGAAAATGAGAATTATGAAAATAGTGCACAGATATTGTTAAATGAAAAATAAAGGACCAAGTCATAGTAATCTTTGTCCAATCCTTGACAGAGCCTAATTCATACATTTCAAAGTCATTAAATGGGTCAATGAAAGGTAAGATAATGGAGACTTATGATCTATTGACCTTATTACATCATTTAAAAAATCAAATTTTGGCTTGAAAATAGCAAATCCCTTCCCAGTGATTCACATTACCCAGAAATCTGGGGCTTACTGGAATTCTTAATAAAAATTACAAATTTCCCTATATAAATTTCTCTGCCAGTTCTTGATAACTTTAAGTACAGTTTACCTTTGAACTTGCCCATTATCAACTGTTGCTTACTTTTCACTGTTTTGCTTTTTAATCTCAGAAAAACTCTTACTTTATTTTTTCTAGATGACTTCTAGGTGTGGTGTAGAACCTTTTGTTGTGTTTGACCATGGTCTCTCAGGAAGTTCATTTTAGTTTTTGGCAGATAAAATGGCTTTATGGTGGTTTTAATTGTTGCTAATTTAAACAGAGAGTACTTCATTGTGGAACTTCCTCAAACAGAGACCCAAATCTCACCAATGGGCAAACCCCTCCTCTGAAGGTGAAACACTCTTCTAATCTCAACCCACACCACAAACAGCCTTTTCCTGTGCTCATTTCACTATTTTTTTTTAATTTCAAAGGCATAAGAAAAAAGTATAATTCTGATTTTTTTCTTCATGTATCTGTAGTTTTTAAATATAAGAACTTTTTTAAAGTCAAATGATGCCTGCTTATTTAAAAAATAAATCCAACAATTTAAAGAGACACAAAGAAGAGATAACTCATCCAAAATCCCACCACACTGTGTCCCTCTGTTTATACACCAGTGTTCCATTTGGGAAACATTTTCCAATCTCTATGTGTAAAAACAGAGGAAAAGAGAAAGTGAGCCAGATATAATTATTTAAAAATTGGATGATAGAATACATGCTTTTTTAAAGCTAAAATGTATTATATTTAATTTTACTTGAATCTAATAGAAGAAAGAACAAGTGAAACTGAAAGAATTATTAGCCTTGAAATAAATGTTTCTTTAATTTCCTTCTAGGGTTTTTATTGTGCCGGGTCTTATGTTTAAGTCTTTAATCCATCTGGAGTTAATTTTAGTGTAAGGTGTCAGGAAGGGGTCCAGTTTCTGCTTTCTGCACATGGCTAGCCAGTTTTCCCAACACCATTTGTTGAACAGGGAATCCTTTCCCCATTGCTTGTTTTTGACAGGTTTATCAAAGATTGTGTGGTTGTAGATATGTTGTGTTGCCTCTGTTGCCTCTGTTCTGTTCCATTGGTCTATATCTCTGTTTTGGTACCAGTACCATGCTGTTTTGATTACTGTAGCCTTGTAGTATAGTTTGAAATCCGGTAGTGCGATGCCCCCCGCTGTGTTCTTTTTGCTTAGAATTGACTTGGCTATGCAGGCTCTCTTTTGGTTCCATATGAAGTTCGTGGTGGTTTTCTCCAGTTCTGTGAAGAAAGTCGATGGTAGCTTGATGGGTATAGCATTGATTCTGTAAATTACTTTGGGCAGTATAGCCATTTTCACGATATTAATTCTTCCTAACCACGAACATGGAATGTTTCTCCATCTGTTTGTGTCCTCTCTGACTTCGTTGAGCAGTGGTTTGTAGTTTTCCTTGAAGAGGTCCCTTACATTCCTGACATGGATGAATCTGGAGAACATCATCCTCAGCAAACTGACACAAGAACAGAAAACGAAACACCGCATATTCTCACTCATAGGTGGGTGATGAAAAATGAGAATGCATGGACACAGAGAGAAGAGTACTAAACACTGGAGTCTACTGGGGGGAAATGGGGTGGGCCAGTGGGAGGGGGAGGTGGGGAGGAATAGCCTGTGGAGAAATGCCAAATGTGGGTGAAGGGGAGAAAGGAAGCAAAACACACTGCCATGTGTGTACCTATGCAACTGTCTTGCATGCTCTGCACATGTACCCCCAAACCTAAAATGCAATAAAAAAATGTTTCTTTAATTCATGTTAATTGGCTCAGTTTAGCACATTCAAAACAAGCTGTACATGTAAAATATCATTTTTGTTTGTCAAAAAATAAATTTAAAAAAATCTTCTAAGATTAAGAAAGAATACCAAAGTATGGAGCTTTTAAAAAAATCTATCTCTATACTTAGTAAGGATGGACCAATAAGTCTACTTGGAAGATGAAGGGGTGAACTCTTACAATTTCTTCCTTCTATTCCTCCTTTATAATGGACATTGCTGTTCATATCATATTTACTACATTAGTATCTTAAATGACAACCAAGCTGGGTATAATACTTTTGTGTCATACTTTCTCTTAGAATATGTAGACTTTGTTCCATTATAGTCTGGGAATAAAATTCAGAAAAATTTCTTAGACCAGACTGCTTCTGCTCCCTGTAGAAAACATGTCTTATTCCTTCTGGTTCCCTGGATAATTCTTTATCTTTGACACTGACTTACTTAACCAATATATATATTTTTGGCTGTTGATTTCTCTTTGTCAACTTTTGTTAAATCTGAAGATTTCACCCATGAAAATATTCTGTACCATATCTTTAAGTGCATTATCAGTTCAATTTGTTGAATTTTCTTCTTCAAATCACAATTATCTTTACATTCTATTGCTTTTGACCTCAAATCTGTCATTGTTTCTTTGATTGCTTTCTTTTCTTTTCTTCTTTTTTATTTACTGTGGTTATCACAAGTCATTAACTCAAAAGCCAGATAAGTTTATTTTGCCCCTTAAAGGCTCTAGCTACTATATTAGTTCTGTAATGATATGTGTGGATTGTTCATTTGCAGTGGTTCTTAAATTGCTTCCTTTAGCTTCTAAGTCTAGTCCTTTCTGTTGCTTTATCTTCCTGCCTTTGAACTCTTAGATCCTAACTAAGATCTTCTATGACATAAGGCATTCATGAGGAATTTCCTTTAATTTCTTGGGTTACGTTTCCTTCCAGGCTGGATCTTGGTTGAGCACATTCATAATACATTCCTTTCTTTCTTTTACCCCTGCTTCCTCCCTTTTCCCTTTCCTTCCTTCCTCCTTTTTCTTTTTCTTTAGTATATTAGCACTATTGCAATCACATTTCTTCTTGGTCATAATTAATCAGCTAATCAGTATAGCTTTTTTTTCTTTTGAGACAGAGTTTCCCGCTTGTTGCCCAGACTGGAGAGCAATGGTGCGATCTCAGCTCACCACAATATCTGCCT